AAAACTGATACTCTTTAAAAAATACATCAAAGTAAAGAAGGGAAAAAAAAGCACACTAAAAACAGATTAATAAACAAAATACAGCAGTAAACAGTAAAACTGAAAGATGTTGTATTTTTATGCACAGAGACATACAGAATATGAAAATAAAGAGATTTCTTATTATTTACACGAATACTATTGGGCCTATCTGAGAAAATTAGAATTTGAGACAATAAAAAAATATATATACAAGGGCAGTAATTCATAATTAACATACAAAATTCATAATATATACAAGGGCAGTAATTCATAATTAACATACTAGAGTTGTTTCCCTTGGAATATTACATTCTTTTGTTTAATGTATTTTTTTTTTTTTTTAGTTATAACATCATGAAATTATAAACACTGATTCGCTAAAAAAAAAATGAGCATACCATGATGATAAAAGGCCCCAAACTTAAAAAAAAGACAAATTTTTATCGTCAAAATCTTTATGCTATTATGTGAGAGCTATAATTTTTTTTTTTTTTAATTTAAATATCTGCATTCAATAAGATCATACATCTCAAATACTTATTTGGATTAATAATTTTTCTTTTGAAATGTTTAGAATTTCACAATGTCATAATTAAATAGAATGTTATAAAATATTAATCCGAATAAATACTTGAGATGTCTATCACTGCTGAATTCAGATATTTAAATCTGAATGACTTTTTTTTTACAGCCCTGAAAGATTAAAAAGAATGTTTAAATGGGAGTAAATTTGGAAGAAATGTGAAAATAGCTCAAATTCTAATCTAATTTCAGTTTATGATTTAATATAAACTAAAATCACTATTTAAATTATTCAGACTATTGTCCTCATCTTTGTCGCCATATTTATTACAATGTTTCGGCTTCTTCAGGTGGTTGGAATGTCGAATTGAACCCTTTATTTCACTCACTGGGGTAGACTGTATCCACTGTGCCATGTGTCCTAAAGGCGTTGGTTAGATCCAGTGACAGGACCCAAAGAGTGTTAGTTCAATACCCAGTTAAGGCAGTGGAGAACTTGGAGAGTGGAATTAACAGGAGATAACTGATAACTGACATCCATTAAACATGGCACATGGAACTAGAACAGTCTACCTCAGTGAGCGAAATAAAGGGTTCAGTTCCAACCACCTGAAGAAGGCCAGAGCATACAACGGCTGAAACGTTGTAATAAATATGGTGACAAAGATTAGGACAAGAATTCAAATAATATAAATAGTGTATATAATACCTCATCTCAGAAATATAGACAGATACAGTAGAATATAATTTGAACATTATTTATGATGTCAATGATTACAATTGTTTATTTAATTTTTTTTCATTTACATTTAAATCAGATAATAAATATATAAGACAATTTAGAAAACTTCTGTTTTGACATTTTAGTGATGAATCAACAACATTAGACAAAATAATTTTATAACAAAAAAAAAAAAATTAAATCTCGTGAAACAGAACATAAGCAGCTGAATGCTAGGTTTTTAATTTTATTGTTATAAAAATTAGACTTAAACTTGTTTTTTAGTTTTTCCTATCAATATTTACATATCCTATATTGTTTGAGTGTTAATTTAGTATGAAAAAGTAAAAAACTGAAATAGTCCCATTGTATATTAATTGTAGGAGACATACAAATTATGTCATTTTTAATGCATCTTTATCTGAGGAAATTAATTTCAACTTTTATCATAATGGCAACAATTAGTATGAATGTAAATTTTGTTCTTGTGGAATGATTAATTCTGATAATGCAAGTTCAAAAGAGTCATTCTTAAAAAGAGAAAAAAAAAAGAAAATATATCTCTTGTAATTATTTACATTTTTTGGACTGTTGTTCTCATCTTTATTGCCATATTTGGCTGTTTCACTCCGGCCTCCTTCAGGTGATTGGAATTTTGAACTGAACCCTTTAATTCATCCAGTGGAGTAGATTGTTCTAGTTCCACATACCATGCCTCTTCCGGCTGTCCCAATTATCTCCCTTTAACTTAACTCTCCAAGTTTTTTTCACCACTGAAGTAACCAGGTATTGAAATCACAACTCTTTAGGTCAAGTCACTGGATCCAACCAATGCTTTTATCCAGTGGAGAGTTGAGTTAAAGGGAGATAACTCAGACACCTGGAAGAGGCATGACATGTGAAACTAGAACAATCTACCCTGGTGGATGAAATAAAGGGTTTAGTTAAAAATTCCAGTCACCTTAAGAAGGCTTGAGCATACAACAGCCAAAACATTGTGAATATGGCGATAAAAATGGGGACAACAGTTTGGACAATGTAAATAATTACAGTACCTCAATGTACTGTGTTTAGTGTGCTGTCTCTGCAGAAAAACAGCACATTATTGAACAGAGACTGTGCAAACCCCCAAAATGTCTAGTTATGAAGAAAGAAATTGTCTACCAGCCTCCCCATGATAGTCAGGATAGTGAGCTGAGTGGTGTTAATGATTCCTTTGCTAGCAAACCACTCACATTTTCTGAAGAGACAGTTTACCATATTGACCGGATAACAGGATTTTAGTGTGTTACCAAGAATTTCTGTTTGTGTTACCAGTGTCATTTTGAAATTCATTCATCCTTTTTTGTGTTTTCGGTGTCTCAACTATGTTCATCCTGTACATGTGGTGTTCCAGTGTGAAAGTTTTGTTTGTGCCCTGATTGTCGTGATCCAGTGTTTGATTCCAGTATTGCTGATTTTTCTGTCCCTCTTTGTTGGTAGATACTCAACCAATAAAAAAGAAAATCTACACCTCTACTACAAGGAGGAGCTGAAAAGTTTTCAGCCTAAGAAAAGATTCAAAAAAAAGTTTGATGTTTGATCATATTTTGGGAAGTGGCTCAGAACTTTTCAGCAGCCTCTTATAAAAGAGAAAAAATACTAGTAATGAAACCTACTATACTCTAATCTTAAACAAAGAAAAAAAACAGGTTTTAAAATATTTTTCATTGCAATCTCAATTTATTCACATAAAACTAAAAGGAATCACCTTCTTTTACTGGTAACAAAATTTAAACAATTTATTGAAATAAATACATAGGCATGCAAAAGTTTTTGGCCAACTGCATAAAATAATTATCACCTTTATTAAGAATTTAAGATTGTTTAGCAGTATACTACTGATAAGGGTACATGCCTCCATTAGTCAGAGACGATGTTTAGTGTGCTGTCTCTGCAGAAATGCAGCACATGGCTGCCCTCAAAGAACACCTGGTTATGACGAAAGGTGTTTATCAGCTTCCTCACAAGATAGTCAGGATAGTGAGCTGAGCAGTGTTAGCAATGCAGAAAATTCCTCTGCTAGCCAACTGCTAAAGTTTTAGCTCCATAAAAGCAGGCACATTTTCTGGGAAGACAGTGCTTGGCAGTGTTCTGCATCGACTGCATGAAATTGCCATGCATTACCAAGGATTCAGAAGTCTTGTCCGTGCCCAGCTGATTCTGATCAAGTGTTTGATTCCAGTGCTGCTGAGTATTCTGTCCATCTTCATTGGCAGCCAATAAGAAGAAAATGCCATCAAGCTATTTCGGCAATCTGTTGCTGCTCCACAGAATTCCAGAATCAGACAAGCAATGTTCTTTTTGATGGAATTATATGGCAGGAGGAGTGTTGGGAAACTGACTGAGATTGGATGAGTTGTGTGTCAAGACATGTCAGATTCCAGAAATTTAAAATTCAGTGTTTCTACATTACCAGTGTTTCACTTTCAAGTATAATTATAACAAATGCTTACATTTATATCTCCCACTTCCCACAACATTTTATATATATATATATATATATATATATATATATATATATATATATATTATGAAATGGACAACAATTATTTAAGACATTTTTTTTATGTTTATACATTCTTTTTGTAGATACAAATATTTAAGCAAATGCTCTGTTTATAATAAACAGTATTAACAACATTTCTGTATAGGATACAGGTTCGATTCCTGTCAGAGGACGCATATTTTCTAAGAAAATTTCTCAGACATTCAGGCTGGTAAATGTTGTTAATACTGTTTATTATAAACAGAACATTTACTTAAATATTTGTATCTATAAAAAGAACAAATAAACATAAAAATGTCTTAAATATATATATATATATATATATATAATTCCATCAATAAAACATTAATTTAGTTTGATGAAATCTTATTAGAGGATAAAATGTGTTACATAGAATTTTTTCTACTTTCAATTAAATAACATTCTTCTGATATATAAAAGTTTATATCTCATATTTTTCCCATCAACTTTATTATTCAAAATGTTAAAATTGATTCCCAAAAACAGAAATTACTTATAACTAAACCTAGGTGTCTAGAAAGTTCTAGAACTAATGAAATTTCACAAGTATGTTGTGAGTATTGCTTCTAAAAATGACTACATATGATTATAAAGTATTAAATTCATACATCTGCTTATTAACACCCTTGGAATTACTGGTTAGGAAATAAAGTTTTAGAAACAATCACCTTTTACAAAGTTGTACATTTCTAAAAAGTTGTAAATTTCTAGCATCTCTAGTTGATTATGTGATGGATATTAACACTGTGTACTGAAATACAATGTTATGATTGTGAGTGCATTCAAATATCCCAGAACTGTAAGCATATGAAACTTGGTGGTGCATTTGAGCACTTCTGGCTTTAAACAGTAGAGCCAGTTATCAGCTAAAACTAAAACATTTTAAACACGGTTATTAGCAACAAGTTAATTCAAAAGTGTAAGGTATCAATAAATGCAGAAGAATTATTTTTTCAATTAAAGTTCATAAAAAAATTATAAAGATCTCCAAAAATATTTTGGGTCACACAGAAATTATTCTTTAAAGTGACAAAACTTTCATTTTGATTTTATGTTTGGTAGTGGTTTGACTAGAAATGAATGGTCAACTTTATTTTTTGGAAGAACTCAAATTTTACAATGAAAGCAAAACATCTACTACAAATTATTATTTTCTTTTTTACTTACCGCATCAAATTTTCAATGCTTTGTTCTTTAACTTTTATATCTGAAATGAAAATAATTTGAAAAAATTATTTTTAAAGCAGAATTAAATAATATCAATCATAAAGATAGGTAACCAACTCCTGTCAAGGTTGACAATATTGGTCATATCTTTTTATTGTAGCTACTGCCTGAACTAATAATTTAGTCACAGGATAGTGCATTGTCCAAATTCACTTACAACCCGTTTCTCCATCAACAATTCTGACATGCCAGAAACATGATATTTTTGTTAAGATATTGTAGCAGAAAAAATATAGTCACAAAGTGAAGAATCACAAGTCACAAAAGAATCAACTAACATGAGTATAAAAACCAATTTCTCTTTCAATTTCTTGTTTCTGGCTTCTCAGCAAAAATCAGGAATTTATATACACTAGAGACACTGTGGCTGGTCAAATAAACATCTGCCAAGCTCTCTAGAGCTAGAAGCAAGATCCAAGTTTTTCAACCATTTTCAGCAGAGAATAAATACATGTAGGGATTTCATTGGACAAGTTATGCTACTATTTTCTTTGCTACAGACAGCTGATAATGTGACAGTGTGCAGGGATCATCTTCTATGTGCCGTGTCCCTTCAGGACGTGGGCGATCATGGCTCTCCACATCTTTCTAACCTTTGCAGCTCTTAACAATGATTTTTTAACCATCCCTCCCACTCCCTGTTTGAACAACCATTTACATAGGTACCTCCACGAGATCGCTAAAAAAGCATAGCATGATGAAAAGACGCCAAACTTGACGAAAAACAAAATTTTATCGTCTAAATGTTTGTTATTCATTAAGAGGAAAGGTCAAAGTATTTTGGGGGTATTTTTTTCCATTTTAATCGTTCCTAGCAAGTCCATTAAATTTTCGAAAAATCTAGTTTTTTTGAGTCAAAAATTGACCATTTTTTTCCATTTTAAAAAAACTGGGAATCTGACTTTGAAATTTTTTTAAATATCAATTATCATTTTTTCAAAACTTATTTTAAGAAAATCAGAAATTATAATGTTTATTTAAAAATATTTTGAACCAAACTTAACTTAGCTTTTGTGCCAAAAAAGATGTAATTTGAAAATAAAACAAAGCAGGTCATAAACTTTTCCGTCACTTGACATGTGATGAATGACATATTGACGGATTCCATGAGGCTAATTTGTTCTATTGAAGGAGAAAAGTGAAATAATTTACATTTACGTGAACAAATTATTTACCCCATTATTTTTAACGAAAACTTTCAGCTGTCTAATTTTTTTTTTTTTTTTGTACTTAGCTTTCACCTTTACGTTTATGATGCTTTATGGGAAATATATTCTAAAGAAATTAAAATAAAACTGTTAAGAGTGACATTAAATTTCATATTTCTTAAGAAAGGTATCTAATTAATTTATAGGTTCCTTTCTTATGAAATTTTATCAGAATTGTACATAAAATACTATAATTTTATTTACATTTATTACATTCTATTGTTATTTGTATTTGCATTCATTTTATTATTAATTTTGATATTTCATTTATGGAAAAATGTCGTAACTGAGATTAATATAAAAATAAGATCATATAAATTTCATAAGATGATACTGATACTTGTAGGTAACCTTCTCAGTTGAAATTGAAAAAATCAAATTAACTTCTCCACACGTGTTTTGCAAAAAAGTAAAGGCCTTAACAGCGGAGAACAATGCTTAACTCAAATAACGCAACTTAATTATATTCTGGTTTGGTCTTCCGTATTTTATAATTACAGCTCGATTATAAGCACAAAATTACATTTCTTAATTACTGGAGTTCTTCTGATTAGTCAAAATGATACAATTTACAACACGCTAAAAAAAGATCTATCTCATAAGGACACTTATGAAAGCCTGTGCGGCTTTTATCTAATTTTATAATATTTTAACAACTTAAATGTAAAATCTATTATAATTAATGAAATAACAAATAATTGTATTAAAAATTCATTTTTCATCGAAAAAAATTTTTTGCTTTCAGAAAATATAGTCCATATTCATAAAAACAACTAAAAGCAAATAAAAGCATTTGAAATTAAATAATATCTTTGTTTTATTGAGTTTTGTATGTTACAATTCAGAGCTGATTTTCAGGTACTGGGTATCCAATTAAAAAAAAAAAAAAACATGATTTGCATTCCTCAAAGCCCTGTGCTTTTAATTATTGTAATCACTAAAACCGATGATCAATTTCTAGCGTTTTCATAAAATTAGTTATGGGGGGTAATAAATATTTTAAAAAATATTTCTACCATGACTTTCATAAAAAAAAATATATTTTAAATAATTTCGATCATCTGTGAATAGTTCCTGAAAGTTTCATTAACATCCGATAATTATTTCTATTTTTGCACGATTTTCAAATTAATGTGTGTCATACCAAAAAAAACGTGCTAAAAATTGTCTATGTTATTTACTAGTTCCACTGATACAAATAGAAACAAGGTTTTTTAATCAAAATTTAGAATTTTCTAAAAAAGAAGGAAAAATTTTTTAAATAATTAAAAAAAACTTTGGTCTTTCCTCTAAATAATAACATAAGCATTTAGACAATAAAATTTTTGTTTTTCGCAAGGTTGGCGTCTTTTTTCATCAAGCTATGCTCTTTTTTAGCGATTTCGTGGAGGTACCTACATTTACACAAGCTTCTGAGATAATGTATTTTTTGTGCATAATATAAGAAACTTTGAACAAAAATTAAAGGTAAAAAATGTGAGGGTCATATTATTGCTGAATTTTATGAACACTTTTCAATTAATAATGTATATATTTATAAAATTGTCATGGGTGATCATGGCAGTAATGTCCATTACTCCTTATGTCTTCCAGAGCTTGGCAAAGGCCTGAATCCTGTAGTGGACAGAATACAAGACAGATATAAAATAAATTACTTACCCTATTTTCTTGTGCATAAAACAAAAAAATTTGAATGAAAATAAAAAGTAAAAATGTGGAGGCATATTATACACAAGTAAAAATTTTCAGAAATTTTTACCCAGCTTAAAAAAATGCTTATTTGAAATGAGATTGCAAATACATTCAATTAGCACAATAGATAAAAAAAAACACAAACTAAACAGGTGTTGATATATAACTGTTTATGAAAGGTATTTGATATGTCAGAAATATTTATTCTTTGGGAATCAGCCTAATTGAATGTCTTTTGTCTCAGACAGAAAGTTCACTGAAATTGATTTCAAAACATGAATAAAGAAAATACACAAGATCTGTCATGTTTTGATATTATTGTTTGGTGAACCTTGTGAGGGATTTTGACTTTAAAAATGTTTAAAATTTGAATGTTTTTCTCAAGATACAGTTTGTTTAAATTTTGATTTTCTTGCTTTTTATAAAATTTTCTCTCACTATTTTCAATGGAAAACAACATTTTTTTTATTTTCGTAATATTTTGTAATGTCAAACTGAAAAGTATGATAGATTAATTAATACCTTAAAACCTATTGCTGAGTATGTCTTGTAAGCATCTAGGAGAATAAATATGCAATGGTTAAACATTTGGTTCACTTCTATTCTTTAATATTATAAATAATTAAATATTTTAGTGAAATATATATATGACTGTTCTATTGTGCTGATAAATTATATGAGACTGGTCGCTGGAAAGCTGAAGCAACACAAGATGTGCTAAACTCAACAACTATTTTATTCAAACTTAGTGGAACCGGAAGTGCTTACAATTTTCATCATAATTAACATTACTGATGTTGGTATAGAACATCCCCCTTCTGAAAGTAATTTATTTTCTTTATTAATTTATTTCTAACTTTTTCAAATTACAAAATAAAAAATTACAAATCAAGGTTTTTTTTTTTCTGTTTACAGTGAAGAAAGGTGATAATTCCTCCAACGCCTGAGATATTCTAGGCTGTCACAATTCTTTGTCTATCTCGGTATTTGTTTGGTTTCAAGTGACCATTATGAAGTGTCCTTAATATCTCTGGTCTTAGTTTTTCAGGTATGACAATTCTGTCATGGACTGACAATTTATTCCAACCTGGAAAATATGGCTTTATGCCATATTCTTTTATTCTTCCTTCTTTATTTGTCTATCCATCTAGTGTGAGATGTATTATTTCCTATAGTAGCTATTTTTATTTCATTTAATTTCTTATTCGATGCTGGTCTTGCCATGCAGTCTGTGTATACTCCAACTTCTTTGTTGGTGTTACTATCAGTGTTGGATAAAGGACTTGTTGATAGCATATCAGGTACAACTAGTGTCTTCCCTGGAATGAGTTTTGTTACTGGGTTAAATCTTCTCAGTCTCATCAGAAGCCTTTGACATTGTAATGGGGTATTGTACAGGTCATGTGTGTTTATTAATGGTATAAGTGGTTTGTGGTCAGTTAACTGTTTAAAAGATTCAAGCCCTGTGGCATATCACTCAAACTTCTCACATGCCTATGACCCAAAACTCTTTCTCCATTTGTGCTAATTCTTCTCGGTGTTATTGAGCATGCATGAGGAAAAGGCTATTATTTTTAAATTACCATCTATTTCTTGAAATAGAGTTGCTAACAACTGTAGATTTGGAACTTAAGTTGCTAATTCCTTTACTCTTTTAAAAGAATTCTCTTGTGGGTAACCCCTACACCCATTCAGTGTCCTTTTTTAATAATTACATCATTGGTTGTATTATTTCAGACAAGTTCAATAAGAATTTGTCTAAGTATTTGACCATGCCAATTATACAACATAAATTTAAATTTGTAGGTGTGGGTAACTCCTAAAAGGATTTTAGTCTTTCTTTACTGGGTTGAATTCCATCTCCAGAAATGATGTACCCAAAATATTCAAGTTATGTCTTTTTGAATTCACACTTTTCTTTATTAAGCTTGTATTTGGCTCTTTGTAATGTTTTAAAAACAGTTTTGAGTCTTTCATCATATTCTTCTATTGTTCTACTGCAGATTAGAACATCATTGATAATTGTTTCAACTCTTTGAATATTTTTCAATATTTCTAACATCCTCCATTGAAATATTTC